GCCCTTTGAATATTTTTATTGACAAGCTTGGAGGCAGCAGAAGAGGCACAGGCAAAACAGCTGACCCGCACATTGTTATCAAACATTACTGAAAATTATGAAGGGTGAGAGAGCTGCTTTATTTTGAAACACATAGTCTTAAGCAGGTGCTAACAAAAGCAAAGGCTATTAATTCTCCATCAGGATTGAAACAGTATCTCATTACCAACTTTCAGGCTTCAAAAATCATGCTATAAACATTTCAGACACCACCTGGTATAGATATCCAATTTACAGATGTCATACACTTATGTATGTTCTTCAGCAACAGTATCTTGAGCATTCTCTGGGCTGCACTGGGTCTGGTTCGGTTATATTAGATAATTGCACTAAACACACTGTCACTGACAGTCAAAAGCACCATTAATTCCAGGGCTGTGAACCAGTTCAGCACAATCCATCACCTCTCAAGTATCCTGGAACAGATGGCCACTGACCCCAGGGCAATTCTCCCTGAGTGCTAAAAATCATAATGATCAAATAATTATTTATTAGAACTGCCTGCCTTATCTGTAATCCAGGGGAGTTGGGGAAAGCTTACAAAGTGTCACTGAAAAGACAAAGATTTAAAATTCAGGTTGAGTTACTAAAATAATTTACTTTCTGTAAAATTCTTCTAAATATGACCCCACTACAGATAAACTTTTTCTTAGAAACAACTGAACAATTTTCAAGCATTTATGAAACAAACGAAAACCAACAGCAGCCATCTGATCTCACAATGTTATCTGTATTTGTCTTTTCCAGCTCTGGGAATGCAGTGGCTCACAGGAGATGGATTATCATTTTCCTGCAAACCAGATTATGTAAGTACCTAAAAGTGCTCCTGATTTCCTGTGTGAGACAATCTAAGGGCTAAATCCTGCCCTCTAGTGTACCTGTGGGTGGTGGTGCCCTTAGAACCTTCCCCACTTCCAAACTGGGTAGAAAAAAGCTGGGAGGGACGGGACAGTTCACTGCCCACTGGAGACATCCCGTGTTGCCCTGGTTCACCTCTGGAGTGTACTGCTACTGGATCACACAGCTCTGGGGTGGGCAAGACTCACTAGGAACTGGGATAGAAGAGCAGCAGACACAGTGAGAGATGAGAAGGCATCCTCCCCTGAGCAGGAACATGATGATATTTTGATGATAAAAGAAGCAAAGGAAGCATATTCCCAACTTTTTCACACAGGGGATCTCTGCTACCTCATCCCCTAAAGCAGCTACATCCAGGAGCCAGGAGGAATTTCCATGCTATGCCACAAAGTACTTGGCAAAGCAGTTAAGATCTGTGCAACAGATCAAAAGTAATGCAAAAAGAGTCTGTTTCCAGAAGGACTTTGGTAGAAGGAACGTATTTGAACATTTAGAAGCAGGGGTTTTTTTTTAAACAACTCACCTCTCACTTAGCACTGGGATTTGGAAAAGATCTTGCCCTGTCAACAGCTCTAGCCATGTCTGTGGGACACCAAAATGAGAAAGAAGATAATCCAAGTCCCAAACAACTTACCCATGAAAGCTAAACACCAGGTCCTGAACCTTCATATGGAAACATGTCCTGACATTTGCTCAACTTGAGGATCACCATGAATTTTCTCCCATTGCATGATCAGTGATCAGATTTCCATCATCTTCACTGAGCTGCTCTAAAAGTCAGTCTATACTACAGCAGTCTTTCCAAAACATTTAGAGCGTAACCATTTTAATGTTGTGAGAGAGACAAGTCAAAATCTTAATATTAACAACTATTTATGAAAGGAACCTTCTTAAGAAATTTTCCTGGACCAGTATTACCCTAATTTACATTTTCTGCAGATATTTATGGAAGAGGAGAGAGGTACTGAGCAGGAAGAAGGTATTTCATACATCTGCAGGGTTGACTGAGCTCACACAGCTGAATCCCTTCCAAGTGAGAGGCTGGAGCCTTGTCACCTCATTAAGGAATGGACAAGAATGGCTCAGGATGCCTTGGATACTGTCTTGGGTTATGCTCATCATGAAACAAAGCTGCCTAAGAAATTATGGAAATACATAAATGCCAACCATTCCTCATTTAGGGAAACTCTGAAAGGAACGAGCTGTGCTACTAGACATGTTCTAAATGTATGGATAAGTGTTCCCTTTCCATTCTCCAGGTTTTTCCCCCCTCACTGTAGCCTCTTTGAGAGAAACACCTCTGGAGAGTTTCTAAGAGCCAAAAACACTGCGTCCTTTGTACAATTTCCAGGGCATGAATCAACAGTTGTTGATCAACAACAACAAACCAGCCATGTTTTTTGTTTTGCTTTAGACAACAAAACTCTCAGAAAGTGCCTTCTGTTTCTTGTTTGTCTGAAAGTACCTCTTGAAGGGAAAACGCTCTGGACGCAGTCCCCAGAGTGTGTCCAAAGGGGCACTTCGCTGGAGTCATGGCAGCACACGCGTCAGATGTGGCAATAATGGCCATGGAAGACGCCCTGTCCTGGGTTTCAGCTGTGTGAATCATATGATCCCAATCCTCCAGCGCGCAGGACGTCAACTTCCAATCTTAATTTCATTAACAACACAATTATGAATAAATGAAGGTGAGTGGGGTCAGTGTAAAACCATGCCACGACCTAAAGCAGATGTGTAGTTCAAACAGAGGCAGGAGGAGGGGAGCTAAAAAGGACATGGATCATGGAAGTTGTTTATAGTATGAAAACTTTGGTCTGAAACATAAGGAGACAGTAACCTGCCTTCTAAAATAAGAACTTCCTTTAAAAGTAAGAAGGATGATGTGCTACTGAAATGTTATTTTGTATAATTAATTCCTAGGAATAGCAGCAACCACAAGCATCTCTACTAACTGGCCTTTAATTATTTCTGAACCAAATTGTGCAGACATTGTATTTCTTTTCTCAAAACCACCTTACAAAACCTTTTGCTTAACTAAGAAAATCACCCTGAACTACTCGAGGTGTCTATTTTCATTGCTAATTTATTTTTTAAAGTCCTCTCACATTGTCCAAGATTTATTGCCCTCTGCCATGCCAGGAATACCACGAGATTTCACAGGGACTTCCATAGAGCAGCACTCACCAGGTCAGAGTTGAGCAGAGTCGTGTGGAATGACGTATTTACAGCAAGGATGCTAAGGATGTGAACCACGCAATGCCCCTGCAATGAGCCTCGCTGATGCTTCAAGCACTGATTATTCTCTGCTTCTGAGAACTACGGCTCTTCCAGGAAAAAAAGAAAGGAAGAAAAAGCAACAAGCCAAGAGCTGTCTGATAATGACAAAAGGAGAGAACTCACTACCAGGAACGCACGAGATGTCAGTTGAAAATTTTAGTAATGATAAGGCTCAACAGGAAGAGAAAACACACATTCAGTGGACTCAAGAATGAAAAACTAATGTTAGTTTTCCTGAGAGAATATAAAAGGCAGGAGGGAAGAAATTATTATGAGGGAGCTCGATGATGAAAAAGGCAGCAGTGATAAATACCAGCTCCACTCAGGGCATCCTGGCCCAGCCAGGTGAGCACACAACACCACACACCACTACCTGCACTTTTCAAAAGCAAAGATGGAACGGGGCAAGAACCCAACCACCATGACAATGTCTTGGACTCAGCTAAAGCCTTGTACATCCTCCACTCAACATCACCTCCCTTTGCAGCACATTTCCATAGCTACTTCTAGGGTGAGGTGACATGTCTGATGAATTAGTAAGATTTATTTCCTTGAAGGATTCCTGTTACAAGATTTCTTTGGAATTGTTGGGTAAAACTATTTGTTTTGCTCAAGGTGAATGTCCGAAGTGGAAAGTAATATTAAGAATTTTTGTCTGTCTCCTCAATTCCTTTTCCTCCTAGTCCCTGAGTTTAGTCCAGTCCCTGCATTCATCACTCAGAGCACAGGTGCAAAGCAGATGAAGAATCCCAGTAAGGCATTTCACCTGCTCCTCATGCCAAATGCCTGCAGGCAGGACCTGCACAGCGAGCACAGTAACAAATTCCCTCCAACCAGGAATCTCACTGGGACGATCTGACCCAGCAAGTCAGTTACCTGCACTGAAGGAAACACCTCACAGGCGCATCAAAAACTCACCACTACACCCACAAAACCTCCATGCTGAATTCTTCCAAAATATTCTGAGCTCTGCAAAAGGCAATTTGTTTGTGGGACAAAAAGCAGCCTGTGTTGGTAATAGCAACCTGCCACACACTCCCTGAAAGCCTGTGATCATTCAGTCCATGGGTGTGTTCCCAGCCCAGGAGCCTTTCCCTCCCTTCAAAAGATCGGGCATTGGAGGGACAGCCTCCTGCTGCTGCTGGAATCCATACATTTTATCCGTATCTATATCATCATTAATTAAGTTTAAAAAAAAAAACAAAAAAAAAAAAAACAATGCAACATGTAACATTTTAAGCCAAAAAGGTTTTGACAGCAGTGTGTTATAAACCCTGCTTCCCTGGCCAGATTTACCCCTCTGTTCCTAAGAGTACCTGTGTGCCACAAGTGCTCCTACTCATGAGCACCTACCCGCACCGGGAACAAGAACAGCCTCCTCTCTACCTTGATGCATCCAACGCATTCACCGCCGCCCTGTAGAGCCCTCAAGTGCCACCAGACCCGTGTAAGGACCATGCAAACCAGAGACCCCTTCAAGTCCATAACACAACCTCTGTGCACCTGACAAACTCTGTACCCAGCAGGCTGAGCGCGGACCGCCAGCGAGGCTTTGCCCCGGGACATCCCTCGGGTGCTGGTGCGGGACCATCAGCTACGGGATGTCGGTATGCATTAACTCGCTATGAATTAACTCCGTCTGAAAACTCGCGGTTATTCCCGCAGAACATTCGGCACATAGACGGGCGCTTTCCAAGCACGGCTCGCTGCCGAAGCTTCGGCAGGGCGGGACGGCCGAGGCGCGGCCCCTGTCGCAGTCCCGCTGCCCGGGCGAAGAGTCACCCGCCCGCCCCGGTGCCGCCCGCGGTGGTCCCGGGACAACTCACTGTGCGGGTCGCTCTTCTCGCGGACGCCGTCCACCTTCCCGTCGGGGTTGATGCGCAGGAAGAAGCCGCCGTTCTTGCAATATAGGCGCTTGGGGTCCTTGAAGTGCCCCGGGGGAAAGGCGCCGCTGCCGCCGTCGTCGGGCAGCGTGGCGATGCCCCCCGCCGCCGCCGCCGCGCCCCGCCCCCGACCGCCCCCGCGCCGCGCCGGGGGCCGCTCCCTGCGCCGGCACAGCCGGGCCGGCCATCTCGGGGGACCGGGCAGGGGCGGCTGCGGGTCCCCGCGCCGAGGAACCCCGGCCTGGAGCGCGGGGCTCTGTCCGGCTGAGCATCGCTGCCGGCAGCGCTGGAAACGGGATGCAGCGAACATCGGTCGGACATCTTTTCCTCTGGCCTTATAAAAAAAGTAACTGGAGAGTTATTTTAGATCAGAAGAAGTTGTGTGGCCTCTGCACCATACTAAATTGTTTAAATCACAATATGATGACACATGTGTTTAAAATAAATCCGTGGTAACCATTTTGTTCCATTGCATTCACCAGAAACCAGTTCTCCTCCCATCCAACAGGAGCAAAGTGATAGCAAAAGGCAACAGGTGAAAATTCTGGTACAGGTCTTCCCCCTCTGACCTGACCCCTCTGGTACAGGTCTTCCCCTTCTTTTTTGTACATAAAACAAATGTACAGAGTTTATAAAGTATAGTGACCCATCAAATGCACTTCGTGCCTGAGGCTGACAACAAAACAGAATGAAAAGGTTTATTTCCCAAAATCTGCTTTGTGCCCCTTATCTCTTGTTTAACAGCAGGCTGGCTGCTCCTGCCTGGAGTTTGGGAAGCTCTCTGGTTTCAAAGGCAGCACAAGCAGCCCTGGACAGTCCCAAGTGGGACTGCAGAGACTGGGCTTTTCACAGAGCCAATATGCAGCAACCCACAGGAACAAACCAACGCCAAGGCAGACACGGCATCCAGCTCACGCAGTTTGCAATATTCACTTTGCTAGCAAGTACGTCAAGGATATTTTGTTGCCGCTTAACTTCCCTTCCCGGCTCTGACCTCTGGCAAGCCATAGATTTTAGTTCTTTACCAGAATCAGAGGCAATTACGCTGCTTCCCACACCCTCATGATGAAGGGAGCAGGCAGAGCACCGCCCAGCCCAGGCACAGGTTCACCCCGTGTCAGCTGCTCCCCTCAGTGCCACAGGCACAGCCCAGGGACAGCCATCGGCTGCTAAATTGGCACTGCAGCCCTGCTGCTCCGTGAGCATCCCCCATTCCCTAGGTTCCCCAGCCACCCCTCCACTTCAAACACTCTCTGCTATTTCTCATGGAAATCCCATATTATCACTGTACCTGAGAGCTCTGGATGGTCATAGCCAACAGTGAAGACCTTCCTTGTTTCCTCTTGCTCCTCCCCTGCAACAGAAGCTCCATTCAGGGCGTTTTGGGTCCTTTCACGGTGGAGCCTTCTGAAGTCCTTGTGTCTTTCTTGGAAAACAGACGAAGAGAAGATGAAGCTGAATTCAAGTAGATGAAGGGAAGGGGTGAAAATGTTATTTAAAAAAACTCTAATAAGTTCTTTAAAAAACAAAAAAGCGATTTCAAAATGCTTAAAACCAAAAAAACTTTTCTAAAGACTAAACATCCATGGTTCCACTCAGCCACTCCTGGAATTTTACATTCCCTGCACACACGGCAGCCCTCACAGCTGGGTGCCCTGTCACAGAGCTGCAGAGTAGACACCGTGCTTTACAGGACAGGGTCCTGGTATTTCTCAGAGCCTTTGGAGCCCTGATCTCCATTTGGGGGCCAAACCCAGTGGTGGCATGGTAGGTATGCCAGCCAGGATAAATTCCTTATCAAATGATCCTTTTGAAAATCAGTAAAATCCAGTGCACCAATAAAACTTGAGGGTTGAGAACTATTTAGAAGCTTGTCACTGGGAATTGTGTACATGGGGCCTACAACTAAAAGATAACAGAGCTGAAATGAAAGTCCTATTCCCTAAGCAATCTACACTCACCTCAAGATCTGCCAACCTTCTATATTTTTTAATATATTTTCCTTTCTCTTCTTCAAATGGAAAACACGCCTGTTTTTTTTCTCCACTCTACTTTCTTCTGCAGTCCAGCCTCTTAATATGGTCATTAATACTGCCCTTGAACATTGACTAAAGCAATTCTGGCAGTAGCATTTTCCTTTCTTGTGGCCTCTTCCACCACCCTTCTTCAACTCAGATCTTCCACACAATCACACCCATATGGCTGCTTCCCCTCCACCCAGACCATCAATTATCCAACCCCTTCACAAGCCTTCTCTTGGCCTGTGTAAGACACTCCATGTTACAATGCCTTAGAGCCTACCTTCCTGCTGCTTCCAAAGCACCTCTTAGAGACCTCTTCTCTAACCTGTTCCATTCATCTGAACTGCTGCCATTCTCTGTTTGTTCTGCACTGTTTTGTAACCAGCTACAATTTTTAATAGAATCAGAGACTCTCAAGCTGGAAGGGACCCACGAGGATCATCTGAGTCCAATTCCCTGTTCCTCACAGGAATGCCTTACCTCTTACAGAGAAAAAGCTGTTTTATTCAGTGCTGCTCTCATACACAGAGGTCACACTAAACACAAGGCACTCATCTGCCCATCCAATAATTTCATTTATTCAATATATAATTCTTAAATTTCTAGAGACTCTCAGCAAGAACATCTGGGAAAAAACTCCAGAGTAAACACAATTCAAACCTAAATTACATTGTCAGTGTGGTTACAGGAAAACTTTGAAAAATCCAAGAGTAATTTTTGTGATATTTTAAATTAAGAGTAAGAAACTCCCATCAGGTCAATCCATCAATTTTTGGTTTTTAATCCAAGGCACAACAACTTTCCTGGCTTTCCAGCAGTTACTACTACAAATCCTGCCATATGACGAGCCCAGAAAATGTCAATCCCCTCTCACAGAAGCTGCTTTTCAAAGGGTTTCAGCCATATGTCCTTGATAGTTTATCAGGATGGCATCTCCAGTTTGCTCACACTGCAGTAATGAAAGTAGTGTTTGAAAAGCACTTACTATAGAATTAAAATCAAACAAACAAACAAAAAGCCCCTCACTTTTGAAAAGCAATTAGAACTACAGGAAAGCAAAGACACCCAGGAATACTCAGGCTCATCCATCTTCTCACCATGAGGACACCTCAGCGGGTGGTTTGTGTCGCTGTGGCGGCAGGGAACGCTTCCAGCTGCTGGAAATGGAACATCAGCCCAGGCCTCCACTCCACCACAGAGCTTCTCCACTCCCTGGGGCTCTTGGCTTCCCAATCCCTCTCTTTGGTGCATATCCAAGAAGCAATTAGCCAAAAAGAGATGGATAAGCTGCGTCCCTTCTGAAGCTGTTCCTGTGTTGTCTAGTGCTCAGCTAACAGTGGAAAAAATCATCCATCTCCTTTCTCCAGCATGCATTGACACCAAAGGTCTCCCACAAATTCTCACATTCACTTGTCACAGGAAATGTAAAAAACTTGAAGTATATTAATTGCTTGAGTTTAAATTTGGGAGGAAGATTCCTGCCTTGTATGATGGAAACAAACAGCCATAAATCTGGCTATAACTGAATTTCCCTTCTAAATATTAGTTACTATAGAAAGAAGCTTCAGTTTTTGCCCAGCTGCTTTTGTAGGTGCAGTTTTGAGGCAAAGTTTCTTAATGGATATTAAGTGCCTTGGGAAAGTCTACTTGCATGGTCACTCTTTTAAAAACACATGTAACAGAAGTTCAGCTTTTCATTTACCATTCTGAAGACTTTAAGACCCTTCATCAATATTTGTTGTAAACAAAAGCTTATTTCTTCCCTCCTCATTTTTTTTCTTTTTCTGGTGCAAATAGTAGAAAGACATTACATCAACAATAGAAAAAAAAAATCTCCTCCCTATTACAAACCTCTTACAGTCTCCATTCCAGTTCAAAGTAGTACTTTATTCCTCTAAAGCACCAGTGGACACTTGTTTATGTCTTTCTAAATAAAAATTTCTCAATATATGCTTAATCTGAGAATGCCACAGATGGCCAGAACTTTGTTTTGGGTTGTCTCTACGAATGTTGGAAACACAACAGCCCAGCATGGCTGAAGATAAGAGAACGAACAATCCAGTGAGGTCTAAATTGGAAGTAAAACAAATTTTCTGTAGTCCAGAATAATTGTACTTGGAAAAAGATCTGAACTGTCTAGAAGTACTGGCAGCTGTTGCAGGTCTTAGAGATGGAGTAGTGACCTCAGCTTATGAGAAATGAGAAATAATGTCTTAAGTACAAATATTTATGGGAGTTAGAGTAATTAGCAAAATCATCCCTCTCCTTCTCTCTAATATACATACAAACATGTATACACACCCTCTCTCTCTGTATCCACACCACATAGAGCAATACATCTAAACTAGCAAAATTACTCCAGGCTAAGAAAAGAAACAATGTCAGTATAAAGATTGATGATATACATTAAAAAAAAATAATTCAAAAATACTCTGCAATCAAACATCATGAACTCTAACAATTTCAATTAATATTGGATTTCAAAGAAATTCAGACTTGTTGAGAGATTCCTTAATGGGAACAATCATAAAATCACATCTCTTTCTCATAGCATTGCATTATAACCATAAGATCATGGTTTAATTATTTACCTCTCCTGATCCCATGTCACTGGAAGGGTGGCAAAAAGTATACCAAAGTAACTTGGCCCCTGCTCAGGACTCAAGACACATTTTGTTGTATTGCTACAGGGTAAAGCAACTGCTTTTGTACTGGAAGTGCTTGAACACATGTTCAGAGATTAAAGGGAGATCTTTTTCCCTGAGTTTGGGGGAAAATCAGTGTTTGTGGGGCAGATACAGCCTGTGTGGTTGTTGTCATTTCAGAAACCCATTATCCCATTTGATCAGAGCACACACAAATTGTTAGGAGGCAGATCTTCACATAAACACAGAATAGTTAAGGTTGGAAAGCTCAAGCAGGGCTGCTTGCAACAAGTCTGCCTGCAATAATTTTAACTCTAAATATTTCCACATCAGCTACAAACCCCTCGCGAGTCAAAAATGTCTCTTTCACTGTCTCTCCTAGCAAGTGATGATGAAATAGTGGAAGTTTTATTATAGATTTGTCTTTATCTTCTTTTAAATTAGATTCTTATACAGGTCATAGAATTCATAACTTCCACGTGGGCTAATTCTGGAGAATGTTCCATTATTCATAGGACTGCAGCTGGAAATAGAAATATAGGTGGAAGTGGGGAAAATACTCTTTCCATTCCCTGGTATGTTATAGTACAAAGCCAAAGTAACCTCATGGAGGAATACAGCAAAGACAGACTATTCCCAAGGAA